TTTTTTGTTACGCATGGTATAATATACATAATATAAAATTTACCATATTAACTACTTTTAGGTGTACAATTCAGTGACAATAATTCATTCACAGTGTGCAAATGCTATTACTATTTCTACAGCATTCTCATCATCCCAAATGGAAACTTCGTACAAATTCAATTGTAACTTCCCATTCTCCTCTCCCCAGCCCCTTCTTAACTGTCTGTATGAAATTGCTATTTCAGTGTTACATGTAAGTAGAGTCCTTTTGTATCTCAGTTATTTCACTTAGCAGAATCTGCTCCAGAATCATTCAATTTATGACTGAATAATATATTGTATGTATGTAAGCACAGTTTGTTTATTCATTTGTACATGGGTATTGGGTTGCTTTCACCTTTTAACTTTTGTGAAAAGTGCTGCAGTGAACATTGGTGTGCAAGTATCTGAGTCCATGCTTTTTAATTCTTTTGAGTATATAGCCAGGAGTGGTATTGCTGAATGATACAGAAATTCTGTTTACTGTTTTGTAAAACTGCAGTGGCTTTACCTCTTTATATCCCCACCATAAATGCATAAGGATTCTAAATTCTCCACATCTTTGCCAACATATATTTTCATTTTTTGATAATAGCCATCCTAGTGGATGTGAAATAGTATCTGTCATTTTGATTTTGATTTCCTCAATGATTAATATTCTGGATGTTAATCCCTTATCACTCATGATCAGTTCATTGTTGCACAAAAGTTTTAAAATTTTTAGTGTCATCTTTCAGAAGGTTTTACCAAATACAAGGTCATGCAGATTTTCCTTTTTTTTTCCCTAAGAGTTTTAGACAGTTTTACTTTCTATGTTTAAGAACTTGATCCATTTTGAATTAACTTTTGTACATAGTATTAGGTAAGAGTCCAACTTTATTTCATTTGCATGTAGATATTCAGTTTTCCCAGTACAATTTGTTGAAAAGACTGCCTTTGTCCCATTAAGTGGTATGGGCATCCTTGTCAAATATTAATAGACCATATATGTAAAAGTTTATTTCCAGGCTTTCAAGTCTATTCTCTTAGTGTATATGTACATATGCATTTATGCCAGCATCACTATTTTAATTATTGTAGCTTTGTAGCAAGTTTTAAAACCAAAAAATATGTGTCCTTCAACTTTGTTTTTCTTTTTAAAGATGATTTTGGTTGTGTGGGCTCCCTTGAGATTCCATATGAATTTTTTGATACATTTTTCTATTTCTTCAAACAGTGCTGTTGGGAATATGGTGAAGAATGCATTGAATCTTTAGATTGCTTTGGGTAGCCTTGTCATCTTAACAGTATTAAGCCTTCAAATCCGTGATAACTAAAGCTCTTTACATTAATTTATGACATTCAAAATAGTCAGCAGTGTTTTGTGTACAAATCTTTGGGCCATTACGGTATGTATATCCCTAAGTATTCTTTTTTGGTGCTGCTATAAATGGATTTTTCCCTTTAATTTCCTTTTTGGATTGTTTTTTACTGATAAAAAGAAACATGACTGATGTTTCACTTGATATCATACCCTATCACTTTTCTGAATTCCTTTGAGAGACTGATTTTACTTCTATTACAATTTTGGTGCCTTTAATTTTTCTTTCTTACCTAATTAGTCTGATTAGGACTTCCAGTGTTACGTTAAATAGATATGGTGAAAGTAGATGTTATTGGCCTGTTCCTGATTTTAGGGCTAAAAGTTTCAGTCTTTAGTCATTGAGTATGATGTTAACTCTGGACTTTTTAAAGTATTTGTCCTTTATCATGTTTAGGAAGTCCCCTCCAATTTCAGTTTACTGTTTTCATCATGAAAGGGTTTACAATTTTGTCAGATGTTTTTCTGCAACAGTTGAAATTATCATGTGAGTTTCTTCTTTTTATACATTCTATTAATATTGTCTCTTACTATGACTTTTGTATGATGAACCATCCTTTTAATGTGCAGTATGAGATACCAGCCACCTTGGAAGGCAGGAATCAGGTATGGAATGAAAAGAAGATCAGTTAAAAGTCCATATAAAGTACACTTAGGTGGAATGTAAACTGGGAAACAATCTTGATTAACCTTTAAAAAACTAAAAATGCAAATATTCTATGATCCATCAGCAGTCTTCCTCTTGGCATATAGCCGAAGGATACTAAACCATCAACGTAGGAACCCTTATGTTCCACAGTGTTCATACATCATTTAAATAGTTACTACTTGGAAGCAGCCTCAATGCCCATCAGCAGGCATTTCTTGGATCAAGAAGATGTGGTATATTCACACCATGGAGCACTTTATAGTATGAGAGAAGATAATGCAGCCATTTTCAACATAATGGAAAGAATTTGAGAGAATTATATGTGGAAAAGCAAGTCAGAATAGTAAAAACAAGTATTGAACAAATTTACAAAATAGATGATTCAATTAAAAAAACAAGTGAACATCAGAAAACATTGAGTGCTCTGAGGTTAAGGGGGTGGGGGTAGGAAAAGGATAAGAGGATATAAAGGATCGTTGTAGGCTAAATACATAAAAATAAAATTGATAGAATACGAATTCTATTTATGAGGATGGAGGTAATCATCAGAAGAAACATTAAAAAATGGGATCAGATCTGAGGAGGGTAAGATTGGGTAACTTGCTTTTAATTTCAAGTTATTTTGCAAAAACAAATAAATTGACAATAGCTCCTGCTGGGAGGATGCAGAGGACAAATAAAAGATGCTGTGAGCTGTCCAGTAAATCTAAATCAGACAGTGTGGGTTAGAACACTGGTCTTGGCTGTGTGAACATTTCCTCGGCCTTACTTTCCTCACGTGCCTTCATAAACTCACTTGTCCAGGCTGTTTTTTTGGTTTTCTCAGTCTTGGGGTAAAATGCTGTGTTTAACCAAGGAGTTTACTATGTAGAAACTATGCATAGGGAATGGTGAATTCCCCCCACCACGCCTTGGCTCAGCTCCTACAACAGCAGTAGTGTGTTTGTTGCCCAGTATGGGGTAAGAGTGGGGGATTTCTTATGGATAAATTGAACTGTTGCATAGAAGAAAAAAATAAAAATGTTGACCTTTTTGCCAAATAAGGTCCTTTTGCATCTGCTGGATTCTATAGTTGTTAGGCTCCACTGCTGGATTCTATAGTTGTTAGAATCCACTGCTGGATTCTATAGTTGTTAGGCTCATTCTTAAACAGAGAGCTTCCCTCATTTACAGTTTGTAGTTCTGTAATATATAACATCTTTACATTTAATTATGCAAATAGTTGTTACTATCATGAAAAGAGTAAACTGGGGAAAGGGGGACAACTTCAACAAAAATTCCATTTGTTTATTATTTCTAAAAATAATCAAGTGAGTATATAGGACTGTGAATGACTTTTTAAGACATTGTACATTAGTCAATGATGAAGCAAATCACCCCACATTGCTCAGTGGCTTAGAACAACAGTGATCTTTATTCTTGCTCAGAAATCTGTTGTTCTGCTTGATATTAGATGGTATTCTCAGGGCCTTGCTCAAGTTGTGTTAGGTCCCTCCTTATTCTTCATATCTTTCATTCTCAGTGAACCAAGAGTAGCTAGAACATGTTCTTTTTTTCAGTGATAACAGAGATGCAAAAAATGCAAGCCCAGTTGTTCACGTTCACTTTACCTTCTTCTTGCATCGCAGCTACAATCGTTATCCTATTTGCCCAAACTAGTCATGTGGCAGATCCCGGAATTCTGGAGTTGGAAAGTATACCCTGCCTTTAATAGAAGACTTGCAGAGTCACAGGACAAAGGTTTCCGGTTGTATTTGAGCACATAAGAAGGCCTACAACTGAAATCCTCATACAAATCAATGATTTTCCATACAGTTCAGACTTAAGATCCGCATTGTTACCCTGCAGTCTGTTTCTTTGAGAAAATGTGAGAATTTTAATCAGTGACACATTAAATTTGTTGCTTGAGAATTGAATATGCATGAAATAAAAGTTAACACTTTAATTTTATGAGTGGCCATCAATCATATTGTATGTCATAATTTTTATATTAAAATATTCCCTTATGAATACTTTGAGTATTGACAAAGGTTATATGTTCATTGTCTGATAGATTTCTTACCAGTCTCAAAATATGTCCTCAGGGTATTATTTGGCAGAAAATACTGGAAAGAGAGCAAGAAATGAAAATGAACAGCTAGGGCCCTAAATGTTGGGTACTATGAGATATTATATCTATATCTCATTTTATCTCTCTTTTTCTTTTTCCAGATAGGATATCTAAATGTGTATTTTCTTAGAACCACTTAGAAAGTACAAGATTATAACTCAGAAAAATCTACTCTACACCATGTTTTCTTGACTAATCCAGAATCACTGCAAGAAACAAGACCTTTTGTCTGTCTTTTCCAAACCATTTATAAATTAGACATTTACATATATTTTTTTAAAGATTATTTATACAAGAGCTGGGGTACAGGTCAGAGGCACGGGAGGGTGAGAGGTTTCACCAGAGACAGAGCAGGGAGCAGGACAGGCAGATGGACTGAAGGCACTGCTGAGGGGAGCAGTGGGCAAGACAGGAGAGGTCTGCCACACCATGTGGGTAGCTCCCTGGCCAGCCAGGAATTGAACTGGCACTGCAGATGCTGCAGACAGCTTCACAGCACTGTACTCAACCTGCTGCAACACCAGGGAGGCCCTGATATTTACATGTTAATGTTAATGTTTACTGAGGTTAATATATAATTTTTTACTTAAGGATTATAGACTTTATGTTTAAAACCTTTCAGGAGTTTCATGAATGTTGTCAACCTACTTAATTGCCTAATCATTTCCTTTTTGATGAACACATAATTAGAGTCTGTGGATTAACTTTACTGATAAGAATTTAGTAGATAAGTTCTTTGGTGGGACTTTGTGGACTGCATTTATTTAGTCAAGAGTAAATGTTGAATGCACTTAAGTTTGGTGAATAGATACTAAACTAAAATTATCTAAATGTATGTTTTTCTGAATATCTTTCTGCAGGATGATGTAACTTTGCCAAAGACTTAGAAGCGAAGCAGAAAATGAGCTTAACATCTTGGTTTTTGGTGAGCAGTGGAGGCACTCGCCACAGGCTGCCACGAGAAATGATTTTTGTTGGAAGAGATGACTGTGAGCTCATGTTGCAGGTAATTACATCAGCCTTCCATATGTTTATGCTCAACAGCTGGAATTGCTATAAAATATTTTTCTTCACTTTGAAAAGTAACACTAGTTAGATTTGAAATTTCTGGCTCCTCCTCTTGTAGTTCTAGCTACTAGTATAATTAATATTCTCTCCCTTTAATTGTCTGTAAATAATTTAAGTCTTAGGGATTATATTTTGAGAATGAGATCTCAGTGCAGAGAAGTTGAAGCCGAAGTTTCACATGATACACTTTTAAAATAAGACTTTCAAGTAATTCAGAAAATTAGCATAGCATGAAGTAAAATTGAATTTTAATTGTGACTACCTTAGTGATACTGAAATTAGTTTTACTGTTCCCTTCAGAGATACTCATTATGACACTTTTCAATAATTTGAGCTTAATTAAAGATTGTTGGTATTTACTAAACTGTCTATAGAAGAGTACTTACTTTAAAATATATTTTTAAGATATCTTTGAGTAAGATAATAAGCAGAAAAATGTATATCCAAATTTTTGTAGATTTAATCCTATTAGTAGATACTAGCAATCTAGAATGGTTTTATGAAAACCATAAACAAGCACTTAGGTTAGAAATGTTTATTCTTTAGCTCAGTACTCAGCTGAATCAATTCTGTCTCTCTTCATAAGGAATTTGGCAATAACTGAAAACATTTTGATCATTTCAAATGGTAGGGGATTGGAGGTAATTACTAGTATCTAGTAGATAAAGAACAAGAGATTAGAATTGTTGCTAACACCTGCAATGTAGAGCATATTTTTCCCTCCTCTATCTCCATATACATACAAAAAAGAATTATCTGACCCAAAATATTATTAGTGTTACGATTGAGAAACGCTATACTATGCTAAGGAGACTCAAATTTGCATATGTTTATATGAAAGATGATTATACTGTGTTTCATATAATAAATATGTAAAAAAAAATTAATCTTGGCCATGAATAAAAGGCATTAAATTTAATATTGCATGAAAATTGTACTTCCTTTGTTTTGAGTAGTACATATTTAATGTTACTGCTATTAAAATTACTTTGCATATGACAAGCACTTTCTAATTCACAATATCCATTTGTATTATTTCATATACTCCTCTCAATAGTTTCCTGAGCAGTTATCATCCCCATTTATAGATGAGAAAATTAAGATTCAAAAGAGTTAGTTACTGTTAAGTAGTAGAAGTTGGTAATTTTGGTTCAAACTCAAAACGATGTGTCTATCCATTCCCTCACTCTGCTCCTGCCATATAGAATAGATAGCATTGTTTGATAACTTAATTCTCATGTGAATAAATGTGGTCAAACTTAATTCTCATGTCAATAAATGTGGTCAAACTTTTGTTACAATATTTTGAATATCTCTATGTACAAACAGAGTTATGTTTTGAAAAAAGTTCATCTATAAATTCTAATTTTCATAAAAATTAAAGTATACCAAATGCTAGATTTTGCTTTATTTTGGGGGAAAAACGTTTTTTAGTCCTGCTGCATAATAAAAGAATAGAGAAATTATATTTTGTTTACAATTTCAATTTTAATATGATAAATGACAATGAAATATGTTATATAGAAGATAGGTGACTTATTTTTGTCCATTCTTTGGGACACTTGGCAAAGAATACATCTATTTATTAGTATGATTGTGAAAATTTAATGGGGCTTTTAAAGAAAATAGTATTTTTTAAAAAAGATTTATTTATTTATTTATTTATTTATTTATTTATTTATGCAAGCACTGGGTACAGTCAGAAGCGTGGGAGGGTGAGAGAATTCACCAGAGCCAGAGCGGGGAACAGAACTGGCAGACTGATGATATACACTGCTGAGGGGAGCAGTGGGCGCAGGCAGGAGAGTTCTGTTGCACCATGTGGGACCCTCACCAGTGGCCAGGAATTGAACCAGCACTGCAGAGGCTGTGGGCAGCTACACAGCCCAGCGCTCAACCGCTGCACCACCAGGTGAGGCCTAGTAGTGGTTTTTTTTTTTAACCTCCCTCTCCCCTCAGCTATAGTACTTTTTAGAAAAGATTTTTATTTATTTATTTTATTTTAAAGATTTATTTATTTATACAAGCACTGGGTACAGTCAGAAGCATGGCATGGTGAGAAAATTCACCAGAACCAGAGTGGGGAACAGAACAGGCAGACTGACAAAACAGGCAGACTGATGAAATACACTGCTGAGGGGAGCAGCAGGCGAGGCAGGAGAGGTCTGTCACACCATGTGGGACCCTCACCAGAGGTCGGGGATCGAACCAGTGCTGCAGAGGCTGAGGCAGCTTTGCAGCCCAGCACTCAACCACTGCAACGCCAGGGGAGGCCCTAAAAAGATTTTTAAATGGTGATGGTGCACAGTAACAATGTTTTTTTCTCTCTTTAGGTCCTTAGCATATGTATCAGTACATTTCTTTTTAAGTTCTATTTATTGAGGTACAGTTGATTTACATCACAGAATATGGAGTGTAGGTTTACACCTCTACAATTGTGTGTTTTTTTTACCAAACCCACCACCAAAGCCTTGGTAATCCTCTAGTAAACCCTCCTTACCCCTTTGCTCCCACCCCATCGCATCCCCATCTGTTAGCCTTAGTCATTGTCCAGCGTGCTCTTCCCCATTACTGTTTTCACTCTTCTCCTCCTTCTCCTTCTCCTTCTCCCCATGCCCTCCTAGATGCCTCAGATTTTTGTTCAGCTTTCAGGGTGGCCTTTGTCTAGCCTTTTGTTTGGTTTCTCTATATAGAAAAGAAACTATCCGGTATTTATCTTTCACCTTCTGACTTACTTTGTTTAATATAATCCCTTCCCAGCTTCATCCATGTTGCCACAAATGGCATGAGTTTATCTTTTTTGAATGCTGAGTACTATTCCATTGTATATATACACACCACATCTTCTTGATCTGTTCATCTGGTTTGGGGCACTTATGCTGGCAGTTTAGCTAATGTAAATAGTGCTGCAGTAGTCATAGGAGTGGCCAGTTTGGGTAGATATCTAGGAGTAGAATTGCTGGGTCACATAGTAAATCCATTCTTTGAGGAGTCTCCACACTTTTTTCTTAGGGTCTCCAGTCTACATTCCCACCAGTGTAAGAGAGATCCTTTTTCTCCACACCCTTGCCTGCACTAGTGTCTGGGTTTTTTAATATGGACTATTATCACATAAAGTGGTATCTCATTATGGTTTTGATTTTCATTTCCCTGATGATAAGTGATGATAAGAGCTTTTTCTTAGCTCTTCTGCCCATGTTTTGATTGGGTGGTTTTCTCTTAGTTGAATTATATAAGCACCTTGTAGATCTTCAGTATCATCCTTTATCAGATGTCTAGTATGCAAATATTTTCTTGCATTCCATAGGGTGTCTCTTGTTTCGATTATTGTCTCTCTTGCTATACAGACACTTTTTAGTTTGATGTAATCCTTGTTTTTTGTGCTTCTGGAGACAAGTTCTCAAAGCTGTTTCTGAAGTTTATGTCATGGAGTATTTTGTCTGTGTTTCTTCTATATATTTATGATTTCATGTTTTACATCCAAGTCTTTGATCCACTATGAGTTGATTTTTGTGTATGGTGTGAGATAATAGTCTAGTTTCATTCTGTTGGAGGCTTTCCTTATTTCCATATATGTTCTTTACTCCTTTGTCATATGTTAGTTGTCCATAAATGCGTGGTTTTAATTCTGGGTTTTCAGTTCTATTCCATTGGCCTGTGGGTCTAGTTTTGTTCTAGTACCATGCTCTTTAATTATTATGGCTGTTTTTTTAAAGATTGATTTATTTATTTATGCAAGCATTGGGTACAGTCAGAAGCACAGGAGGGTGAGAGAATTCACCAGAGCCAGAGTGGGGAACAGAACAGGCAGACTGACGAAATACACTGCTGAGGGGAGCAGCGGGCACGGCAGAAGAGGTCTGCAAATAATGATAGCTTTACTTTTATCATCTGCAAATAAAAGCTTTACTTTTATCATCTGCAAATAATGATAGCTTTACTTTTTCTTCCACAATTTGTATTCCTTTTATGGCTTTCTCTTGACTATTTGCTCTAGCTAGGACTTTTAATACTATATTGAGTATTAGTGGTGATAGTGGACATCCTTGTCTTGTCCAGATCTGAGTGGAAAGACTTTCAGTTTTTTCACCATTAGGAATGATAGTAGAATAGCTGTGGGTTTGTCTTATATGGCTTTTATTATGTTAAATACATTCCATTTATCCTCAGTTTTCATCATAAATGGATGCTGAAATTTACCAAATGCTCTCTCAGCATCTACTGATATAGCCCTATTTTTTTGTCCTTTTTGTTGATGTGGTTTATTACACTGATTAATTTTCAGATATTGAACCATCCTTGTGTTCCTAGTATATATCTCACTTTGTATATCATGTATTTTTTTTAAAGATTTTATTTATTTATGCAAGAGCTAGGGTACAGATCAGAGATGCGGGAGGGTGAAAGAATTCACCAGAGACAGAGTGGGAAGCAAAACAGGCAGAAAGACCTAAGGCACTGTTGAGGGGAGCAGCGGGCGAGACAGCAAAGGTCTGCCACGCCATGTGGGAATCTCCATGTGGGAGATTCCCAGGAGGGCCGGAAATGGAACCCGCACAGTTTTGATTACTGTCACTTTCCTTTCTTGTGATTGGTTTATTCAGGTTTTTTGCTTCTTTCTTTTTCAGTCTTGGATAATTGTGTGATTCTAATTTTCTGTTCATTTTGTCTAGGTTGTATTACCCTCTGAATTCCTGCATGTTGTAACGTCACTTTCATTTTTTATTCTATTTATTTAAGTTTTCTACCTTTTTTCCTTAGGAGCCTAGCTAAATGTTTGTCTATTTTGTTTATTTTTTCAAAGAATCGGCTTTCGGTTTCATTGATCTTTTGGACTGTCTTTTGAATTTATTTACTGGGTGTTTGGAAAAACGACGCATTTTTGCTTGAACAACATAGAAAAAATATATCATGACTTTTCCGACAACCCAATAATTT